AAAATAAAAGAATTATTGTTAAAAAAATAGCACATGTGATTTGTTAAGTATTGTTTGTTGTTTTACTTTTTCGGGTCTGGACGCTGGACTGAACTTGATGTTACCCGGGCGTGGTGCAGCTTCGGCTCAGTTTTAGTAACTTGCACTGCTTTCTTTTCCAGGTACGTCATGGGAGTGGTCTCAGGCTGGCGGGCGCGGCAGGCGGTCTGGGCGCAGTCGCGGCGGAGGCGTGGACGCGGTGCACGTTGTCCTTCGGGCCGTGGCCGCGGGGGCCGCGGGCGCGCACCCCTGCCCCAATTGCAGCGCGGCGTACAGCCTCAAGCGCAATCTGCAGCGCCACCTGCGCCTGGAGTGCGGCCAGGAGCCTCGCTTCCAGTGCCCCGTGTGTGACTACCGCAGCAAGCGCCGGAACAATCTCCACAACCACGTCCTCCTCCGCCACCCCGACACGCCCCTGCCCGCGATGTGATCTAACTCTCTTGTTACAACTGAAATAAAAGAAAGAAAGAAGCAGAAATCGGCCATTGGCTGTATGGCCTCGCCCTCCCGGTCCCGGCATGCGTGTGTTGTAATGCCCCTGGCTGTGTGCTTGTGTGCGAGTGACTGTGTGAAACGTAGCCGTGGGCGGCGGCGGGGAAGCCTAGAGTCCGAGCTGCAGAACGAGGTAAGGGACCAGGTACTCGATCTCGTCCCGCCTGGCTCGCCCTGCCGCGCCTCGCCCCGTTGAAGTAGAAGTGCATGTCGCTGCCTGCGCCCCCCTCACCTCAGACTCTGTTGCTCACGCCGTGTCTCTGTTGCAGTGGGGCCGGTGCCGCTGTCTGCGTGGCTGGAGCAGATCCAGGGCCGCCGGGTGAAGGCCGACGTCGACGAGGGCGTGCCCGCGGCCATGGCGGTGCTCGCGGCCCGCGGCCCGCACCCCGACTCGCGCGTCGGCGGCGGCGCGCTGCTCGACGTGGACGGCATCATCAACCGCCTCAAGAGCAACATGCAGTCGTCCGTGCGCCGGCGCCAGGCCGAGCCGTCCTTCGACTGCAAGAACTGCGGCAAGAAGTACACGCTGAAGAACAACCTGCTGCGCCACACGCGCCTCGAGTGCGGCAAGGAGCCGCAGTTCCCCTGCCCCTTCTGCCCGCACCGCAGCAAGCGCAACGACCGGCTCATGCAGCACGTGTCCAGCCAGCACAAGGAGCAGCTGTACGCCGGCCGGGTCGAGATGCCCATCCTCCAGTGATCCGCGCTTCTATTACTCACAATTCCCCCCCCCCCTTTCTTTTTCTTTCTTCTGCGTATAATTTATTTTGTGTGTGGTGCACTCATCTATAATTTTTGTGTGTGCACAAACAATAGTGTTTTTTTTTTGTGTGTGTTGAAGTAGTCATAGTCCTTTGGTGTGATGGGCTTAATTTTATTATGATTCCACTTGATATGCACTCATACCAAAGATTTTAGAAATGTAACCACTGAGT